TTCTTTTTTTTTTTTTGGGGGGGAAAAAAATTTTTTTCCAAAACAATTTTTTGTGGGGGGGAATTTTTTGAAAAAGGGGGGTTTTTTTTTTCAAATCGGGGGGGGCCCCTTTTTGGAATAAAAAACATTTGTGCCCTTGAAAAAGGGGCGGGGGGTTTTTTAGTTGGGGGGGCTCAAGGTTTTTAAACCCCGGTGGAAAGTTTTGGGGTTTGTTTTGTTAGTTTTTGGGGGCCGACCCCTTCCCCCGGAGGGGAACCTTAATTGTTCAAAAGGGGTCTCACGGGTTGACGGATGGGTTGACGGAACGATGGATGCCCCAAACAAAGGATCCCCGAAATGGAGGGATGGGCGGAATGTATTGACCGATATGAAGTGGTTTGTGAAAGAACGATGCCCATCGATGAAGTGGATTCCATGATGAGCCCATGGATGATATGGATTGATGCCTGAAATTGATCGATTGCCTTACAGATCTCGCCGCGCCAGCGACTGTTATAATTCGTGCGTGCCTGAGTAGACTGAACCGGGGTATGAATTCCCTCTCTGAGACAACCTGGGCGAAAAAGCTCCAACAATGTACATCGCTGCAGACAACGAATGGACAGTTGGCTCGAGCTGTCTTTTGGGTGTACTGTAATGCTTGCGCTGGCTCTACCTGTAACAACCCTTTGGAGAGAACTGTGATCGATCAACATGCATGGATGGGTGGATTGACGGAACAGCGGATCCCCCTATGAACGAATTGGCGGATGTATTTGTCGGCTGATTCAATTGACGGGTGTCACCTGGAATATGGATGGACCAGTGAAACCATGGACGAAGTGGATCAAAGGATGGATGTGATCGATTGCTATACAGTTCTACCCTCGTCAGCCTTGTGCCGTACCCCTTACCCTACTTTAATGTATTATTCATTTTGTCTTCACTGCAAATCAGCGTTCACTGAGAAACATTTTCCGAGGTTTGCTTTCCTCCTCGATATAGCTGGCTCTCTTGGACGACAAACGTCTCAAAGTCCAACATCGTTCTACAAAAACGATCAAACGCGAATGCAGACAAGCAACTATTGGAAAAACAATTTTTGTTCTCTGCTGGGCTTACCACAGAGACTTTTTCAAGTTTGGATATTTGACAACGCACGCCCACGATCATTCTGCACACAAGACGAACGAAATTTCGAAGTATCACAAACCTTGGTTTGCCGACATATGTAGGTCTTTGTGCGCTTGCCCGCGGAATCGTCCCTCTTACGCGGATCCACCCAATCAGTTGCAGGCACACTATTGGTAACTCGTCACTGCCTTACGTTCCCGAATACAGCAACAGAGTATAGCCTATCAGCGACCGCGGTCAATGGGTTCACTATATGTTCAGCATCACAACTTATGGGTTCCCATTATTCGCCGCGGGCGCCCCCCAAGAGGAACAGGAATACTCTTTAGGGATAGGTAGAATGTACGGAAGCACGTCGATGTACACAACACAAAAAACTACAGTCCTATGCATCATACTGATTCATTTGGTCCCATGAAATGCCCCTGCCGACAAAAATGTTCCACATGCTCAACAATAAATGTTTTGAAATGTTCAATGAAATGCAATGCCAAATGTTGCCCGCATGCAATGCTCGCCTATCAACGCAATGCTCGCCTATCAATGCAATGCTCGCCTATCAATTGAATGAAATGCAACACGACCAAGAGAATTATGATGATGCATTCGACAGTAGGTTGTGTGCAGCTAACGAAAACGGACGGATCTGGGTGTTTGTACGGTGTATTTCATCTTGCGATGAGGCTGCATCACGTCGGAAACGATAATACCATTTATCTGTAGAAGATGTGATGTAGCCGAACCAAGGGAACCAATGTGCACCCCACGTTCCCTTCTTGCTTCCCGCATTCCACTCATCCTGGCAATTGCTGGCCGAGACCGAGCCCTCTGCTTCTGCGGTAGCCTAAATCGGATCGACTTCAGTTCAGTATGGCTGGCTCGGCCATGTTCAATAGTGTTCGTATTGTTTTCCACACCATTGGTGTTTGTTTGGTTGACCGTACCTCCCTAGAAGATGGCAAAGAGTCCACCCCCAACTTTGGTTTTGGCTGTTCAGTATGTCTTAAACAACCGTCTCCTAAACAACGCACCTTCGAAAGTTTCGGCGTGCACCCACTCAGCCGGCTGTTGTATATCATGCAATATTGCTACTGGCTGACCCCCACCTTGCTACTCCTTGTCGCCGATACAACGCTGGCGTCATTCCAACACTTCGGTGGTGTGAACATGATTTTCCTGCGGGTTGGGGCAGTTCTCGACCCAGCTAGCTACGACTCAACACGGAGTGGGTCCGCCCGACGAACGACGTCGGCGGGCGACCATGGAAGATATATCCGTTGCAGAATAGGAGCGGCGGGCCTAACTGGCAACAATCCGCGAGGTGAGCAAAAACGCATAACATTTTTGCCCTGGATAAACCGACCCCGGTTTCCGTTCAAGAAGCTGATTATTTATTGACTGCGAGATCAAACGTTTCGCTTGATCATGTCATTTTCACAACCTTGTGTTTCCTCGTTATATCCAAAAGTACTACTGGCTTGGGTTGGTATACTGCTTTTCATACGATCAGACAAGCCACCATAGGTCTCCTGATGGTGTGGATGTGTATTACTGACATGAAAACGACACCATATAAAAAGAACGGCTTCAAAGAAAAACGTATTCGCCAAAACAGGAAGTACTGCCTAACATTCCACCAATTCGCTACCCTACCGTAACTCGCTTGCGCTCACAGCCTGGGGAAGCGTTCGGCCGTCGTGAGCCAAGTTGAGATATGGTGGCAATCCGTCGTGGAGGATGCGAATTCACATCGCCTGAACGCGGTTGCCGTTGCTGCAGCCGCTCAGAAAAACAACATGCAAAATGTGCGACGCCGAGCTGCCGTGGCTCGTGTTGCTGCTGCCGCTGCGGGCGGCGATGAGTCTGCTGCAGCATTTCTGGTAGTCCGAATGCGGGCGCGCCGCTAGAAGGATAAATCTTCACAATCTACACGAAAATTGCAGCAGTAGAACACGATCGACGATCGCATTCGGAAAACTAAGAAGGTAGTTGTGCCCGCACAGTGAAGTTCTGCAAACAATATCGCAGTTGGATTGAAAGCCGTTCGCATGTATGCAGGTGATAGTCTATCGTTGTTTGCGAATTGATGAGACATGGGGCGAATCCCACAATCTATGAGTGATGAGGAACAGAGGCCGATGTCGAACTCAGTTATTGGAGTCCACTATGCTAGACTCTGTGGACCCGAACGAACGGAATAGAAGTGGTTATGTACACAGCCCCCAAACATCACCTTGGTCACGAGATGCCTTGTCGGGTAAGGACTGTGGTAAGAAGCACAAAGCACGACGACCACTAGACTATTTCAGTAGTCAGCGCTGACTAGGAGGTCTAGTGGTCATTGTGCTTCTTGACAAACGTTAGTGCCCGAGTCCGTCAAGCAACCGCCCCCATCGTGCAAAATTAGGGGTTTCACTTCAACAGCCCTGCCCGCCCTCTTCCCCGTTTGGGGTCCCCATCGCTACCAAGCCCAACACCCATTACATACGAATCGAAAGGGCAGTGTTCCACACCCATCAAAATGGGGGGATGTTATGGGATTTGAATGTGTAGGAAGCACCATCGGTAGTGCGGGCTAATGCCCAGAGGAAAGTGCGGGAGATGTAACTCCCGATTGAAGGATATAGCAGGGGACAGGACCTTGGCAGCCCCGGTTAAAGGGGGCTGGTCTGCCCCCACATGCTCAGTCTACCACAAAGAGCAAGCAATCAGCATGCACTGCTATCCAAAGAGAGACATGAATCAACAAGTGAGTCTTCACCAAGGAAGGGTCTTCAGGGATTGCTACGCGTGTCTATACCATTACAGGGCGTGGCGAGGACAGGAGTACTATGAATATCTGCCTTGAAGCCACCCGAAACCCGTGTGCAATAATGGTTTTCAAACCTGAAGTGGTCGACCAATTTACTTGAAGCCGTTGGGAGGGTAAACATAGACAACCACAGTCACAAGACAACGCTCGTCCATAGTTGAATGAGTTGGCCAAGACCATTGCTTGTGGCCCCCTTTTTTGACGCTCATCATTTGCCGCCACTCGTTGGTTTGTTAGAGACACTGCCACCGTCTTATTGTGGGGATTCAGAAGGAACCGTAGATGCGGTCTTCATCACGGTGCGGTGTCTCCTACTCCGTCGCCAAGACAGCAGTAAAACCGCAAAAAAAAACACGGAAAAAACCGCTATAAAAACGCAGTGAACTCACGGTTTTTCCATGCAGACGCACGTTCGGCAAGCCAAAGCTGCTTCTGTCTAGCCAAGTTATTCGTGAGGGAGAGCAAGTGTTTGTCGAGGTCGGCTCCGACTGAGTATAGAAGGGACGCCTTTGGGGTGGTTGTGAAGATGAGCCGGGTGGTGGTGCAAGAACTACATTTGTACTGGAACAGTTCCAACAGAGGCAAAAGTAAGTGAGGAATGTCCCAATGTATACTGCTGTTCAGATGCGTGTTGTAGGGACGTAAAGTGTCTGGAATAGAACGAAGTTTATGACACCGCACAGCACAATGTGTGGACTAAACCTAGCGTTCCACGATGATATTGTGGATAAACATTTTCGTCACGGATGACCGTGGCATTCGGCTGTTTCTTCGACGGTACATCGCCGCCAAGGCCGCGGTTCGCGCGTTTTTTTCACGAGGTAAAACATGTGTTACGACAAAACCGCACGACAAAACCGCAGCACCGCACCGCACCGCACCGCACCGCACCGCACCGCACCGCACCGCACCGCACCGCACCGCACCGCACCGCACCGCACCGCACCGCACCGCACCGCACCGCACCGCACCGCACCGCACCGCACCGCACCGTACCGTACCGTACCGTACCGTCACAATTCGAGTTGACAAAAAACGCACCGCACGGCACCGTCAAATATCATGATGAGAAAATTTCGCACCGCACCGCACCGTGATCGTGTAAGCAAACAACAAAACCCTGTGGTTCTCCACCGTGAACATCGCTGAGATTTTCCGTCGGAACAATTCAACCGAGTACACAGAGGTGCAGTGACGAACTTCTGGGTGACTCCTACTGAAATAGCTGTTCGTGTGTTAGACATCAAAAAGGTGGGAAACTGCGCCGAAGAGGCGCGTGTCTCCGTGCCCACACCATCGATTTCACCTTGCCATAGAGTACTATCTTGCGCCCAACATATAATATCCTCAAGGTACGCTGAGCTTCATATGTTCGAGACGCTAGCGGCGTACACACGTAGATGTCGGTTGATTTTGTGTCAGAGGGTTCGCAATCTACGTCTGGCGCGAGTTGTTCTTTCACACCGAACCAAGTTACGTTCGAAGTCATCGCTCGAGCGAGACGGAACGTGATGCCCGCTGTTGCTGTCTCTCTGTTGTTGGCGTCACCGCGAGACGGGGGAAAAGCGGCCAACTGCAACACTACTGTATTTCGGCTATTTACTGTCTCTGCCACCACACCTCCGGTTGAGGTCATGCACTACCGAAACTATTGAGTCAATCCACACCATATCGTTTGCGGTGAGGTACATATAGCCGTAGCTGTCGGCAGCACGGTCAAACAGCATTGACATTACCTTCTGTACTGTTATTTCCCGGATGAGAGCAACACATGGTACGTTTTTGACACCGGAGTGTCCGTCGCCGCGGGAGTGTGGGCGCCATTCACACAGCCCTGATACCAGATGCCGCGATGCCGCCAAACCAGGGTTTGCTAGGGAAGAGCATACACACGCACAGTCGAAGAGCAGCGGGCCGCGGTCTGCCTATGCGGGGCTACCAAATCAAACTATTCACGATGTTTGCCGTTGCGATGTGCATGTCCACGTGATTCCGCAGCAGTCAGTGGTCGCCGAGCAGCGCAGCTGCCGCCCTAGACAACCATTGTTTTCAGGTTGTGGTATTGTCCGTCCGTTCTGCCGTAGCGTTTCTGAGCACAATGGGGGCCACCGCGGCACCAGTTTGATCCGGCCGGGGTCGGGCTTGGGGTCGCACTGCACGCGATCCATCAGTAGCACGGCACGACGTACACCGACTTGGGGTCGGGCGAAATCGGCTGCGTCGCTACGCGGCAGCTGGTATAAGACGCCGCCGACAATGCTGAGTGTCGTGGGGCATCGATGACGGCGATTTTCAACGTCGCGAACAGCCAGAATCGCCACTTGCAACCGGAGAAGAAGATCGTGAGGCAGCGGCGTCGACGTTGCCGATATCGAACGTGGACAGGCAACTACCGGTGGGAGACCGTTTCCGCCGGAAGATGCAACGCCGGCAATATGAATGCACCTGACGCGGTTGTAACCGCTCATGTACGCGGTACACGCTTAGAACGCTCACGCCCAGGAATGCATAGTGTCCTGGCACAGGTTGGTCACCATGAAAGCCTAGACCTTGGACCTTGGGGATATTTCGTCAACGCCTACAGGAAGGAATCGACATGATCGGAACTCCTTTTCGCCAACTTCGAACGAAGAGTCGAGGATTTCGGCCAATTGATGTCAGCGTGATTCACCAGGGCTCGGGCATTCAAGAAGCAGCGCGCTACGCCGCGCGCATCGCGTCCATGCCCCCGGTGACATGGCCACAGTAGAGCGCATCACCGGGTACATGCTTCAACGCTTCAGAGGGACTGCGCCGTCGTTTTCCAGGGCCATCCCTCTGACCTGTCTCAGACCAAGCACTCCCGCTCGGTTGAGGAGTTTCGGCGACCGTCTTCGTTCCGTCGAGGACACACGAGGGCGAACGCACCCGTTGGAACTGTTCATGGCACCATGCTTGAACAAACCCAACCGCCCCACGAGCGCTGGGAGCGGAAGCGCCGGCGGTGGAGGTGGAAGCAACAACACTTCCCAGAGCTGGGACAGAAGAAGCGGAGTTGACAACGGTGACGACTGCGACAGCAGTGGCTCCGGCAGTGGTTCCTCCTGAGGATATGGTCTCTGCCATACGGTCGAGGGACCTCGATCTGCCAGCCACGCGAATCTCAAGTGAGGGAGACGACGACAGAAGGGACGAGGTGGGCGCCTGTCACACAGAAAGAAGCAACATGTACATAGGACAGGAGACGCTTCTCGGTTATACGGAAATCGTTGTTGGTTCAGCCGAAAGTCGAGCTCGGGGAATTGAGCGAAGCTAACTCGTGCCTCAGCTACGTGATACTTACAACAGTACCACCTGATGGATATTTCCACGCACGGTAGTTGGGACACGAGATGAGGTCTTAGGCACGTCGTGGGGGTAGAGAGAAAACGGCGGGGCGGTTGCTCTGTGGTGGAGTCGGTGTCAGGTCATGGGACGCCGCCCAACGACGCGCCCAAACTATCGCACTGCACCTACCCCTTGTTCCTTGTGATTGCAGTGATTTCACGACCCTGTTTCTTATTGGGGTGTTTCTTATGTTGTGGCCGAGATCGAGCAGTGTTTCATCAATCTGCTTTCAAAGTTTCGTGTGAACTTGTTTTTTCGTGAACGTTTTCTGAGTTTGCGGGCCCGTACTGTACGGTAAATCGCAGATATGTGGGGGCTTGGTCGCGTCCGAGATGTTGCGTACAGTAGGATGAGTCCCCACACTGGTGGAACGGGAAACCCCGGTTGCTACGTCTGGCGGTAGAGCGAGAGAGCGAGAGAGAGAGAGAGAGAGAGAGAGAGAGAGAGAGAGAGAGAGAGAGAGAGAGACGGGGCAAAGGGGCAAAGGCACAGTAGGATAGGCGCAGGAGACGTTTGCGGGACATTTGCTCTAGGCAAATACATCATCCTATTTCGTCCCATCGGAACCAATGAAACATCCCATGGGTTTCCATGGGGACCCATGGTGCGTCCCATGGGTACCCATGGGACGTTCCATGAGGTTTCTATGGGATGTACCATGGGCACCCATGGGCACCCATGGGACGCGCCATGGAAGGTCCGAAATACATCCCCGTTGGGAGGTCCCATGGGTACCCACGGATTCCCACCGGCAATCCCATGGGACCCCACCGTGCGCCCGATTGGATCCTCTCATGGGACCTCATGGGTTCCCATAGCTTCTCATGAAGTCTTATGGAGTCTCATGGAGTCTCATGGAGCCTCATAGAGCCCAATGGGTTCTTGTGGATTCTCACGGGTACTCATGGGTTCTCGTTGAGCCTCATGGGTTCCCATAGAGTCTCGTAATGTCGCATGGGGTCTGATGGAGTCTCATGAGGCCTCATGGGTTCTCATGGGTTCTCATGGGTTCTCAAAGAGTCTCATGGGTTCTCCATGAGTCGCATGGGTTCTTATTGAGTCCCATGGGTTCTCATAGGATCTCATAAGGTCTCATGGGGTCTCATGGGTTTTCGTGGGTTCTCGTGGGTTCCCATGGGTTCCCACGGGGTCTCATGGGGTCTTATGGGACCTCATGGAACATCTCACGAGATTTCTGATAAGGTCGTTCGAGATGTCTCATGTGGGCCGTGAGACATCTCGTGAGAAGTGCCATGAGGTCTCATGAGAGGTATCATGGGACCTCATGAGACGTCCCGTGGAAACCCATGGGGGGTCGCATAGGTTCTCGTGAGACGTCCCAGGGGGTCCCATGGGATCCCATGAGAATTCTCGTTCTTCCCATGAGAATTCTCGTTCTTCCATGAGATTCTCATTGTTTGTTCGAATAGTCTAATGTATATGACCGTTCATATACACCATTAATCTGGACGAGAGCGGTATACAAAGTGTGTAGATTAAAGATATCAAGATACGGCCTTCACTCCCTTGGTTAGAGATGCCTTGTCGGGGTGAAGTAACCACCATATTCCAGCACCATCCACTTACGGTAGGCCCGTCCGCCATGCCATACCCGTGTCCTGAAGTTACGCAAAGTCAAAGTGGTCGCCGAAATGAAGTCAGATACAACACAGACAGATGACCACGGTCATCATAAGAGGAAGTTCGCCCGCCAAACAGCTGTGCATCATCATCAAGAAAGCCATAATCATTGCCTGTTTTGTCCCTCTTCTTGGCAGTGCTATATAATTAGCCGCTACATCCTTACAGTAGTTCGGTATATAGACACTGACTCGCCGTTAGATCTACGTGTGGAACGGGTTTGATCACCTTGGGAGAGTGAAGTATCGCCAGAGAAAGTCTCTACGATCGGGCAGACGTCGAAGTGTTGCTGAGAATCCAGCCTTTCCATAGAGAAAAAATACCTACCGTAGCAATAATGAGCTGTCCGTGTCCCTCATGATCCGCACCAGCTGTCCCGAACCCGGCTTTCTGGACCCTGTTCAACGGTTGAACCAGTGCACAGCGCTCACCATGTCGTCCCCGCTCACGAGAACGCTCTGCCGTGGATACCCATACCTACCATCCCGAGCAGCTGCACCACATTGATACTGAAATCGTCTCTACCCAGCACGCCGTCGCGCTCACGTCGTCTGACGTCGATCGGAAGTAACAGAACTCCCCGTCTCTGTACATTCGCCCCCCATCACACACCCCCTAGCGTCACTCCACATACATACACCGCGGCACCTTGAACCTACCTTCCTTGCCAACGCCCAGCGTTCAGCGCCCATTAGTCTATACTCTGTACATTTTCGACAATAATGCAGCCAAACGGAACCCTGCGGCCACCGTGACGATCCGATTGGGGGATGGGCGGACACCTATATATGTTGGCTAGCGCCTCAATCCTTTGGTGGGCCCACGTACTCTGTGGTCTTCTCTTGTGCTCTCAGGCTTAACGACCTACATGCTGTAGTACATGAGTGTACGACGGCGACATAATACGAGTCTCCCAAACTGTGCCCAGAGACTGGGGGAGCGCGAGATCTGCTCTGCAGTTTAAGCCTCGGTCAGTATATAACGATGCATTTTGGTACTCTTTCGGTTACAACAAGACATGTGGCTTTTCGCCGACGGGTCACTCATCTCGTCGGTCGACTCATCTAACTGTCAACTCTCCAACGTTCGTTGCATTCACCTCATGCCCACGTTCCACCACACCGCACAACACTCAGCACACCACCGGCTCAGGGCCAAGCCAATACGGCAAACGAAATGGTAAGGGACATGACCTAGGCGATACGTCAAGTCTGCTAGCCTCGAACGGCCTCGACAGTAGTGCTACATGTAGAGTGAAGACATGTGTAAAGTCGATATGCCCCCAGTATTGACGACGGCTGTGAGTCAGGGCGAGCTACTGCCAGTTCGAGCTCGTCTATTCGCGCCCGTCGTCACAACGTTACTGTAGAACAGTTTATCCACCGGAGTATGGCAACGAGCTGAGATGTAGAAGGCATAAGGCCATCCAAGAGCAGAAAGAGGGCGTTTGGGGTCGGACGCGAGACGCAGTCACGGAACCTCAGTCAGGTGTCAAGAGGAAGCGGTTGTACAGCTGTACTTATGGTGGAGTTGTGGTCGTGTCGAGCGACGTTGCTACCTGATTCCCCACCGTGTTTGCTCTACCGTTTGTCTAGGTGGGCGAGCGGTGAGAGTACTGGAGTACACGTCGGGAGTACGCGCGCTGTACCCCTTGTGGAGTGGAGCGACGTCGTGTAGGTACGTCGGTGTGTTTTCTTTCGTTGTTTCGATTGCAACCTGTCTTGACGAAGAACAAAATCGGCCCAACGATCAAATATTCATATTTCCCTCAGCCTGCGCACCTGATAGGATCGATTCTTCGCGATTCAACATGTCTTCTAAACGAGACAACCTTCACGGGAGCAACGGGCCCTCATCCGGACACCCCTCCTCTCTCATCCTTAGGAAGAACTGCGACCGTTGCACTGTGAAAAAGGTCAGTGGGCAGGATGAGTGTAGAACAGACAGAGAGTTTCGTTTGGCCCATTCGATGCCATGTTGCTGTCCACTATTTAGTCAATGCTGGACCCAGGCATATCCCAGTAGCTTCCGTGTAGCCCGCGAATACCGCAATAATACAGTAGCTCGCGCCAGAAATCAGCATGGTACGTGTTGTCGGAAGTAGATGCCTATTTCCAAAGCTTGTTCCTGCCGACCATGAATCTGCCCTAATGAGGTCATGTAGAATGGAATACCTCTACATGTACGTACATAGCTTCCAGTCACATATCCTCTGCCCCCGTGACCACAATGGTAGCAACGAGGCCGTTGTTGCTGCTGCTGCTGTTTCGTACGCTCTTGAGTCTGATACCTCTTATGTCTACAGTAGCTTCTGTGCTTGGTTATAATACCAACATATAAAACCACCTCACATGATTAATACCATTGCTAAATGACAACGAGGCAGTGTGCTCGGAGCACTGTATGTACATCCCAGAACAGTTGAACCAAACTACAGCAGTTTGTACATTTGACATGTACAAGTCTAGAGGTTAATTGCAACATAAATACAATATGTAGGTCACTTCGTCACGGAGGGGCTTTTACGCCTTCATTGTTACACTGGAGCGGTGTAAAGTTCTTGTACGGCGCGAAGTATGGCGCATCACTCAGTCAGGTGAGGCAATCCTCCGAATCCTTCCTATTGTCCAGCGTACGTTCAACGGCCTGTCTGTGGTACAAAGCCAGCACACGAACGCACAGCCCACGTCATTTTTCTCATACTAGCGCTCACCGATGTCAATGACCGACCAAGTGCTTACGTTGTGCTCTTGCCGCTACAGGTTAAATGCTCGGCGCCGTTTGGCACTAACCGCCCTTGCGAGTCCTGCCAAAAGTATGGGGTTGAGTGCGTCTTCTCTGGCCGGCGGAAGCCGGGGCCCGTGCCAAAACGAGGTGAAGGACCCCCGGCCCCACTGAGCGTGCGATCGACTACCCAGGGCGCGAGTGCACGCACCGGACCACTCGGCGAGGCCACGAGGGCGGTGGCAGGGGGCGCCGCATCGTCGTCCGCCCTTCGAACGGTACGGGATATGTACATTAGGCGAATACGGTCGGTCCGCTTACACCCAACTCCGTGGGAACCCCAACCTTGGTGGTCGCCACTGGGCACCTCCGCTGAAAACAAACTCCTTTCACTCTCATGTATCCCCGAATGTTACAGTAGTCGTTCCTGCGTGCGAGGTTGTTAAGCTTTCACTCTTTCCAAATCGGCTGAATGTACTTCACTCACCACTCCGATGCGTCGAATCTCCTTTGTACACGATTTTCACCCCGCCGGCAGACGTCGGGGCCAAGATCGACCACGCAGGGCGGATGAGCAACACGCACCCTCGGCCAACGTGGGAGGGCCGCAACGGGGGGCGCATCCTCGTCTACTCCTCGAACGGTACCCAGTCCACACATTTGAACAGGCTTCTACAGTACTGAGGCCGCTGACTTCGGAGTCGTGAGGAACCCAAACGTCAGCGGTGCCCACTGGGCAATTCGATTTGAAACAAACAATGTCCCCTCTCTCATATTAAAAAGTCGTCCTTGATACGGAGCTCGTCAAGCTCTCGCTCTGTCTAAACCGGCTCCATGTACTCCACCAGTGCGATAGATCCCAACGGATAATATCTCATTGTTTCATTATTTTTCACTCCGCCGGCAGACGTCGGGGCCGCACTGGTGGCCAAAAGGGCAGGTTGGGCACGAACTACAACCTTGGGGGGGGGAGGTTGGGAGGACGAGCTCGACCTTGAATCCATTATTTTTTCAGGCTTGCAGCCCGCCGTGTTGATTGCAATAACGCCAGTATGCAAGATGCGGAATAACTTGAACCCTTTGGGCTGCAACCTCCCCCCCCAGGATGGAGTTGGTACCCCAACCTACGCACAACATGCCTCTGGCCACCCTTGCGCGATTGACAACGCAGGGCGGGGGAGCGAGACGCACCCTCGGCCAACGCCCGAGGGCGGCCACGGGGGGCGCATGTTCGTCCTCCTCTCGAACGGGACCCGATCTACACGCTAAAGTTGGCTTCTACTGCTACTGCGGCCGCTGACACCCAACTCGTTAGAAACCCCAACCTTTGCGGCACCCACTGGGTAACGTCGGCTGGAAACAAACATTTTCCACTCTCTGTCATATTGACTAGTCGTTCCTGATTCCGAGATCGACAGGCTTTCGCCCTTTCCAAACCGGCTCCATGTACTTCACCACTCAGACCGATCGCACAATGTATTTTTTCCTATTTCCACTGGCAGACGTCGGGGCCGAGATCGGCCACGCAGAGCGGAGGTGCAAGACGCACCCTCGAACAACGTGCGAGGGCGGCCACGGTGGGCACATCATCGTCCTCCTCTCGAACGGTACGCGGTCTACACACAAGATTAGGCCTCTGCTGTACAGCCGCTGACGCCGAACTTTCTGGGAACCCCAACCATGGCGATGCCCATTGGGCACCTCGACTGGAAACAAACAAATACACTCTCGTTTTCAAAAGTCGTTGCTGATAACAAGGTCGTTAAGCTTTCACTCATTCCAAACCGGCTTAATGTACTGCACCCACCACTTCAACCGATCTTGAAGCAGCGTCATATCTCTTTGGTACGCGATTGTCACTCCGCCGGCAGACGTCGGGGCCGAGATCGACCACGCAGGGCGGGGGAGCAACCAGTACCCCCAGCCAGCGTGCGAGGGCGGCAACGGGGTGCGCATCATCGTCCTCCTCTCGAATGGTACGCAATCTACACACCAGCCTTTGCGGCCACTGACACCGAACTCGTTAGGAACCCATCCTTGGCGGTACCCACTGAGCAATCTCGGTTGGAAACATATTGCGTTACCTCACATTTTTTAATAATAGTCGCCCGTGAATCCGAGACGATCAATGTTTCACCATTCTTTTCCAAACCGGCCAATGTACCCCACCACTCCAACCGATCTCGCTAAGCGATATACCAGGTATGTCTTGTGCTGTCCTTCATTCTTCGAGCCTTCCGCGCGCCGCAACAACTCTTCCATTATCCAAGAACCCAGGTTTTTCTCTTCCGTTAACGGTTGCAGCCGAGGCCGAATAAGGGCAATAGTCGTTGTTGTTTCATGGCGCACACTCGTGATCTGGTAGACCCAACCTTGCTTGCAGACTAGTTGTAATGGTCTTCCGCACGTAATGGAGACACATCAGAAGTGTTGACGTGTCATCATGCGATGCCTACAGTTCTCGAGTGACAAAATACGGTGGAAACTACTGGACAAACATTGGTTCAACCCGCCTGTTAACTTTGTGCCACCCAGGCTCGTCATGAAGGAGAACATGTTGGTTCGACATCCGCCCTCGATACGACGAAAGAGCTTGCCTCCCAGTGGACAACGGCGTATTGGTAAGCTTGGTGGGTTCTTTACAGTAGCTCGTGGACCATTTTTGTGTGGTCACGGTTGGTGTAATGAGCGGTACTCTAATCGCAACAACGCCGAGACTACTTGATCGCTTCACGCGACAGGGGTTCATAGAGACTCGTCGACACTGAAGTGATTTGATGAAAAAGGACGTCAGATGAACGTTGGTGGAAATGGATCTCCTTAGTCGCAGCTGCTCCTCGTCTGTACAATGTTTCCACTCAGAACCGTCCATCTTTGGCGTGATATTTGCTGTGCCTGCCAGGAGACTCGCGGATCTCCACGAGGAAAGGTTCGGTGCCGCAAAGAACATGGTCGCCGAGGCAAGCGGCGCGGACAACGGCAGTCGGCGGCGGCAGTTGCAGGCGGCCATGCACGCCATCGGTGACCGGTTAACAGTCAGGTGGGATTTCACGTACTGTGGTAATACTGTTATGAAGGTCTGGTCCAAATATCACGCAAAATCTCTATTCATTAATACTCATCATTCGTATCTCGTGGAGATTCATAATAATGCAAAGCAAGCAACGCCATGGAGGGAAGTCTTGGCAAAGACGGGATACGTCTGCAATACCGAGCTGCAGCCATTCGGAATGCAAGCGTTATGCCTGAGAAACGTGCGGAAGGATTTCGGTCGCCGCGGTCAAGCTTACTAAACTACGTTGGAATGTATGCGGTTGCTGGTTCTAGCGGCAGAACCGTACACACCGAAGATAACTCAATTTCATCAAATGGGCTCACGCGTTGATGGATGGGTTGACGGAACGATGGATGCTTCACTGAAAGGATTGCCGAAATGGATCGATGGGCGGAACATATTGACCGATATGAAGTGGTTTGGGAAACAACGATGCCCATCGATGAAGTGGGTTGAATGATGAGCCCATGGATGATATGGATTGATGCCTGAAATTGATCGATTGCCTTACATATCTCGCCGCGCCAGCAGACTGTTACAATTCGTGCGGGTCTGAGTGAACATAATCGGGATATGAATTTCCTCTCTGAGACAACCTGGGCGAAAAAGCTCCAACAATGTACATCGCTGAAGACAACGAATGGATAGTTGGCTCGGGCGGACTTTTAGATGTATTGCTTACGCTGGCTCTACAGGTACAACCCTACTTTGGAGAGAACTGTGATCGATCAAAATGGGATTAACGCGTACATGGGTGGATTGACGGAACAATGGACCCCCCAAATAAACTGATGGGCGGATTGATTCATGGGCTGATTGGATTGACGAATGAAACCTGGATTGTGGATGGACCCGTAAAACCATGGACGAAGTGGATCAGAGGATGGATGCGATCGATTGCTGTACAGTTCTGTCCGCGTAAGCCTTGAGTCGTACCCCTTACCCGACTGAGACACGTTTTCCGAGGTTTGCTTTTCCTCCTCGATATTACTGACAGTCTTGGACGACAAACGCCTCGAAATCCAACATCGTTGCTTACAAACAAACAAACTCGAAGGTAGACAAACAACCATTGGAACGCCTATATGGTTCTCTGTTGGGCCTACTAAAACACAAACGGTATCAAATATAGTTTAGTTATTTGGCAATGCCCACGGTCATTGTGCACACGAGACAAACGAAGAACCGTGAAGTCACACAAACCTTGGTTGGCCCAGACCTAGATAGCCCTGCCCGCGAAATTTCCCCCCTTACGCGGACCCAGTCTATCAGTTGCACGCACAAGTTGGAAAGATCGTCACCTTTTTACGTTTACAGCTGTCTAACGTTCACGACTACAGCAACAGAGTATTGCCTATCAGCAACCGCGGCCAATGGGTTCACTGTATGTCCAAAATTTAAATACTTACGGCGTCCCATCGTTCGCCGCGGGTGCACCTCCAGAGGAAACCGGAGATACTCTTTAGGGATAGGTGGGATGTACGGAAGCACGTCGATGTACACAACACAAAAACTACAGTCCTTTGCATCATGCTGATTCTTTTGGTCCCCCCATGAAATGCCCCTGCCGCCGAAATTGTTTCACATGCTCAACAATCAATCGTTTGAAATGTTCAATGAAATGCAATGTCAAATTATCACCGCATGCCTCGCCTGTCAATGCAATGCTCGCCTATCAACGCAATGCTCGCCTATCAATGCAATGCTCGCCTATCATGAATGCACAATTGAATGAAATGCCAACCGACCAAAGAATCATTGTGATGCATTCGACAGTAGGTTGTGTGCAACGAACGAGAACGAGTCGATCTGTGTGTTCGTACCGTGTATTTCATCTGGCGGTGAGGCTGCATCATGTCCGAAGCGATGATACCATCTGTAGAAGATATGATGCAGCCGAGCCAAGAAATCATTGTGCACCCCAGTACCACTTCTTGTTTCCCGCATTCCACTCATCCTGGCAACTGCTGGCCGAGACCGATCCCTCTGCTTCTGAGGCGACCTAGACTATTGGTTCGACTTGAGCTCAGTACGGCAGGCTCGGCCATGTTCAATAAATGTGTTCGTAATATTATCCACACGGTTGGTGGTTGGTTGACCGTAGCTCCCTACATAGACGATGGCTCAGAGTCGACCCCCAACTTTGTTTTTGGCATTACGTCTTCAACAGCTGTCTCCCTTCAAACGCACCTTCGAACTTTCGGCGTGTGCCCACTCAGCCGGCTATTGTATAAGTACTGGCTGACCCCCACTTTGCTACTCCGTTTCCCCGATACAATCCTGGTTTGATTCCATTTTTTCGGCTGTGTGGATGTTATTTGCCTGCGGCTTGGGGCGGAAGTAGTTGGATCCGGCTAGCGACGACTCTCCTCAAGCCGGAGTCAGTCCACCCGACGAATGACGTCGGCGGGCAACCATGGATGATATTTCAGTTGCAGAATAGGAACGGCGAGCCCAACTGGCAACAATCCGCGAGGTGAGCAAAAATCCATAACTTCCGTCCTGGATGAACCGCGCCCTGTTTCGTTTCGGCCGCGAGTTCGAACGTTTCTCTTGATCATGATGTGTATGGATATGAAATACCGACACAAGGTGAAAAATCTGCTACGTACAGAACAACAGTACGAAGAGCAGACTACAAGTGATCAGAGTACTCCCAGTTCGTGTCAAGTGTGCACGTTTCGTGTACATGCTCGAGTACCTCGATGATGGAATACGCTGGCACTTATCGCAGCCCTGCACACCGTCACACGTGTGCCTAACCTTCAACTTGTGCGCTACCCTACCGTAATTCGCTTGCGCTGACAGCTTGGGGAAGAGTTCGGCCGTCGTGAACCAAGTTGAGATTTGGTGGAAATCTCTCGTGGCGGATGCAAACTCGCATTGCCTGGATGCGGTTGCCGTTGCTGCAGCTGCTCAGAGAAACGAGTTACAGAATGTTCGACGCCGTGCTGCGGTGGCTCGTCTTGGTGCTGCCGCTGCGGGTGGCGATGAATCTGCCGCAGCATCTCTGGTGGTCCGTCTGCGGCGCTGCTAAAACGTGTTAACCTTCATCTACATGTACAAAGAGAGTAGCAGTATAACATGATCGCATTCGGAAACTTTGAAGAAGGAGTTGCTCCCGCACCGTCAAACTTTGCAAACCATCGTAATTGTAAGCCGGCCGTTTCACAGGCATGGAGTTTATCATTTTCTGTCGTTGTATGCGGATTGACGCAACATGCGGCGAATCCCACTATCGTTGAGTTGTGAGGACCAGAGGTCGACGTCGAACTCAATTTGATTGATTCTGTGCTTGTTCAGCATTTGAACTTCTTCTATGGACCCGAACGAATGGTGCATAAGCGGTAATAGGTACACAGGTGGAGGTAGACCCCTGGCTTTCCCAGGATGTTTGGTTGTCTTCGCCAAGGTGGTCGACCTTGTCAAGGTCTTCACAAGGAGGCGGGAGCATGCGACATTTTGGGGAAGGGGGGTTGACCTCCACCTGTGTAAGCTCCCCCACATCTCCTTGGTCGGAGATACTGTGTCGGGTAAAGGACTGAAACGCCACGCTCATTTAGAACCGCGGTCTCATCACAACAGTCCTCTTGTACCCCGCTTGGGATCCCCATCCCTTCCAAGCCCAACATCCCTTTGTTTTTTCCATTTTGTTTGGGTAGAAAACTACAGAACGCGCCACCACATAAGAACTTAGCAGTTAAGAACCTGAGCCTCAAACAATTCAAAATCTAAGAACTTGGCCATAAGAACATATGCTCAGTTCCGACGTTGTATTACGAACAAGAACCCGCCCGGTGTACCAATGCGCATACAGATAAGAACGGAGCCCCAACACGCGGCGGCTGCAAGATAAGAACTCATGAGGCTGGGGGTGACCCAAATCAGTTAGTTTCTGATTCGAGGCGGGGTGGGGGGGGGAGAGAGGACCTCGTGATGAATTCTTGTACGCGCGGAGGGGGAGGGCGTACTCTCTCTCATGTTTCGCATGCCTTAGCGGTAGGACAATTGACCAACGTCTTCGAGAGGACGCGTCCATGTTCCAACAGGATCACTGATGCCAATCGTTCCTTCCCACTTCGAAGTACTTTGTCAAACGTGGCCAAACCATGTTCTCCCTAGCCGATCTACCCTATATCGATATCATCACTTCCCGCCTTTTCAACCCACTTCCTATGCCCCAGTAGAGCTACCACCGTTTTCTCCTGGCTATTACATGCCTCAAACACCTCCCTGTACCTTTTCTTCTACATGTCCAACTCAGTCATGTACATTTCTCTGTCCTTGTCGCCCAACACGGACGTTTCGCAACGACATGAACCCGATCTTCGCTCTCGGAGTCGCGTTCACATTGAACTCATCTTCATCGTCTACCTTCCTGAATCTTCGTCAATGTTCTCGAAGGCCGTTTTCCCCACTCCAAAATTTGACCTTCGGCTTTCTCCCTGCATCCATTGGTCCATGTAGTAGGTACCTATACCTTCTTTCAAC